CGGTCGATAGGCCGAGCAATTTTTTTTTTTTTTTTTTTTTTTTTTTTTTTTTGAATTGGTTAATTTTATTTATGAAAAAAATTTTATTAGTAGAAATTATTATGTTATAGATTAGAATTGATTATCTTATAAATAAAAATTTATTACCTTTATGTTAGAAGTTAGAAATTATTAAGTTATAGATTAGAATTGATTCTTATAAATTAGAAATTAAGATAATCATACCTTTTCATAGAACTTCAACAAGGGTCGTCAAAGATTCCACAAGCTTGATGCTAACTCATTCTATGACTGTATGATGGATATGGTGAACAATAGCGATGCTTTGATCATTCTTCCAGACGGTTATGGAACTTTAATGATAATGTTTACCATTGCTTCTTGGGCAGAATTGAAATTTCATAACAAGCTCATAGGTCTATTGAATTTTAATAATTTTTTTCACAGTTTGCTTAGAATTTTAGACGAAGGGTTATATCAAACCTTTATATCTCCTTCAACGAGAGAAATATTCAAATCTGCAGGCACGTCTGCTGAAATTATCAAAAAGCTTCAAGAATGCATCACATTTCAAGATTATGTGGAAACATAAGGGGTCAACCAAAAGAGCTTTTGATCCTTTAGGTCTCTCATTATGTACCCAGATAACAATCATGGGTGGCAGAGTTACGTAGTTTTATACTCTCGAGACGCACCCTTCTTTATGAGTTCTATTATGTAATCTTTTCGTATATTTATCGAGGATTCATTACCTATTATCCATATTTCCATCATATGATCCTCCTGTACTTGTTCCTTAGTAATAATAATATCAATTTCGCTTTTCCTTAAGGTAAGTGTGTAGTACTTCATGACTACAATCATTATCACATGTGCTTCTTATGGAGCACTTCATTTTATTATCTATATGATCTCGTATTATGAGTGTGATCTCGTCATCAGATATCTTCCCTTATACTCATATAATATATTGAGGAACCATTTTGTGTGATCACCTACAACTGGTAGTTTTTGGTACCACTTTCTAATTTTGTTTAATCTTCCAATGGTAGCTTCTTCTACCATTTTATCATTTTGTTTAATCATAATGTGGTAGCTTCTAGTATCACTATACCACGATATCATCATTATGTGGTACCTTCTGGTATCATATGGTAACTTCTGGTACCATCTCATCAATTTTCGTTTCTCCATAAATTTAGAGAATTTATCACCTGTTTTTCAGAATCAATAGTCTATATAATGTCAGTTCACGATTAGGAATTTAGTCAGTTTTTCACATGTTCAAATACAAAGTATCATTCATTTCACTCATTGGTCATTACTAAATAATTAGTACTGCCCATCTTTGGTGGCAGAACCGCACTGGCTGGCCCATGTACATATAGCCATTTATACCCTTTTATATGTACTTTTTGTTACACATGGCCTTATCATCTGGCCATTCATATCACCGGCTATGTAATAATTAATTCACTGGCCGGTCTATTTAGCCGTTCAACTGTATTGTTTGTTGTTGGCGGTTGCAACACTTGGCCATTTCACATGATCGTTTATATTTCTTTATAATATTTTGATCAACAGTTGACCCATCGGCTACCATTAAATATTACTTACCGACGACAGAGCTGCACTGGCCGATCTATGTAGCCACACGTATTTATTTTTATATCACAAGGGTCAATCCATAAATATACACATGTCCATGTAAATAATTTCCACAATAACGAATTTTAAGCATTTTATAATCATATAATATAATAAGCCATATCAATATTAGTCTTAAATCGAAGCGTTTATTATTCCAAACATAATAAAATCAATAACAACTAATTTCGATAATACTTATTTTTATATTTATGAAAATAATCTTTCAATGAAAATAATGCCACTAATGGATTTTTTTACTACTATTTAATTTTCCACTTGTCCCTACCTTTTCAAATAATTGATCACATGTCCCTCATACAATCTCACTCTGCATAATTGATCACACGGAGCATCTCCAATGCTATGAGTTTGAAAGATCATTATTTTTAACACATGTCAATTAGTGATTGTAATGTTAATCCACATTGGAATAATGTTAAAAGGCTAGACATTTGAATAAAATTAGTATCTCCAATGCATCAATTTGATAAGAAATTATTTGTATAGGTGGACCAATTAAATAATTCATTTATACAAGCAAAATAAAAAATTAAAACAAATATAAAGTAAATTGATGAGTCATCATGTTTAACATGGTGTTAGATATTAGAAAGTGTGCTCAACATTGTCAACATTAAATGACATCCACCTCATCATGAAAGAGTTCATCTGCGCGCGACCCGTCCTGCGCGCGTGCCTGCGGAGAAAAAAATAGTAACACACTTTAAAAAATTAATGATATAGATGACTTCTTATAATGTTAAAAGACACATCTCTAGCTTGTAGAATTGTCCTTCCTTGGTCATTTGGTTTGTCATATGCACTTCAATATTCTCTTTTCCTACTTTTTTCATATTACAAAAAGGTTATTATGGCTTACGAAGTCATCTAGAAAGATATGTGTATCTTGGATATTATTTGTTTGATATTTCATCATACTGAGTGGGACTTCTGGACAAATGTTAAAAAAAATATATTTAATTAATCCTACAAGAAATTTCTCCACAGGTGAAAGTTCAAAATAATTCTCTGATCCTAAGGTAAGTTTATTTGATAGTATGTAATGATATCAATTACGGATATACTATTGAATAGAATACATCATACCTATTGACAAGGGTTAATATACTTTAGGTAATCATTACTCTTTCATCATAATCATCTTGAATCGTGGTGCTTTCCAATTTAGAATTTTTCTTCTGGTTTTTCTTTATTTCTTCTTTTTCTCTTTGGTCCTGTTAAAAGTATGAGTGGAGTAGAAGAGATGGAGAGATGGGGGATTCAAACGGTTGGAGCATTGTTGCTCTTCATTTTCTTGAGAGTTTTTAGTAAGGAAGAAAATAACGAGTTGTAATAATTCGATTTCTAATACAGAAGATCGTCTACAAGATGCAACTGCAGAGCATACTCTCATCATATTACAAATCGAGCTATAGAGGGTAGAGACTCGTGCTGGTAACATGTTATAAACATAGAGAGAAAGAGAGAATGGGGAAAATGTATTCTCTTTGTACGATTTTCATTATAACTGAAGCTCCTATTTATAAGAAACTTCTGATAGCACAACTTATAATAATACAGATACATCGAAGGCACAATAGTCATTCATATATATTATTTTATTAAATTCCTACCAACTATCAATAATTTTCCTAACTAATCCTAACAAATAAATATTTTATAACAGAGAGAATGCTTTAGGCTTATTAGTTCTAAGAGCATCTTTAACCATAAACCTTCCTAAATCTCCTTTTACACTTTCCAACATGCCACATCATCCAAAACCTCATTCTTACTCCTACACTCAAAACCTCCAATAACAATAAACCTCATAAACCTTTATTTTATGGGTCCCACATATTTTTCACTACTTTTAATTAATATTATACTTTTATATTTTTATTAATATTTTACAACTATAACTCCATTTTATTTTTATTCAATCTAAATATTTCATATATTTATCATAAATACATATAAAAAAATTAATATAAATTTTGTAATTTCATATATTTATTCAATCTAAATATTTCATATATTTACATATAAAATTTGTAATTTAATTTTTGAGTTATTAACGTATTATTAGGATAAAATTTAATTTTGTTTAAAAGAATTTAAGAGAAATTAAAAACCTTCAAAAGAAAGAAAATGAAAAAGATTGTAGAAAAGGAATAGATTGTAGAGAAATAATTTTTTAAATAAGTTAATGAATTATTAAAAAATAAAAACTAAATTAGAAACAAATTTTAAAGATTAAAGTAAAAGAAAACGTAAGTAAAATAAATAAAGAAAAGAGAACATTTTTTTTAAAACATAGTTTACCACTTTACCTCACAAATTTCGAAAGTGACGAAAAAACAAAATAAAAAGAAGGCACATGGGTGTTCACTAGTGGGCCACACTCTCTCCACTCCATTTTTGGCAATTGGACTACACTTGCCCAAAGATTAAGCATGTGGATGAAACCGTGAACCCCACTTTCTTATTTTCAATCTGTTATGTATATTTTAAATTTTAATTTTAAGATGTTTGAGAGAGGTTTGTAGAACCAAACCTGGTTTGTGTTTTTAAACCTCAAACCTCTCCTCTCTAATAGCAAAACCTAAGGTTTGTGTTTTTAAACCTCATCCAAAAGCTATTGTTAAAATGCTCTAAGAATAGCAAACCCAATCTACTTGACAACATGACAATTCCCTTCTTGGCAAACCCAATCTATTTGTCAACATGACATTCCCTTCTTGGAAATTTTCGAGAAGGAAAAAGTCTTACCTATACTAAGACTATCAAACCCAATCTATTATCAATACTAAGACTATCAAACCCAACCTATTAGCAGCAGTGTCCGTGGAATTGCAAGCCCGGTACACCATTCATAATTGGCCCGAAGCAAGATTCCCACAATCCATATTCTGCAACTAAACTAACAAATTCATAAGTTTTAATAAGTGTCCAACCGACCCTCAAACTCCCACCGTAATAAAAACACTACCGATCATAACCCTCATCAGACCAAATACAACCAACATCCCTCACCCCAACCAAAACAATCATTTCCTGAATTCACAAAAGGTCAATACATGTGTGTGTGTGTGTAAATATAACCATGTCCACACGTATTCATATGAACACTCAATGCACCACCATGAGTCACAAAATGTATATCGAACTTTGTCTTTAAATTGAAAGCTCAAAAGCAGCCAACACATCAAGACCACGATGTTGAAACCTTCACTCATCTCAAGAAGAATACCAAACTGGATTTCATAGTGTTCTAATCTTACTAAACTCCACATGAAACATGCCACTATATATCACATGGTCAGCAAGAGTGCACGACCACAATTCTCCCATGATATACCAAAAGCCAACATGATGTAACAATAACAAGAAAACAAGTGTAAACGAAGATGCAATATGCCTGCAAAGATTGTGACGGTACAATTTCCTTCAGCATCTCACAAAGTTTACTTGAGGTAACTATTGCCCTAGTGAAGAACTTTTAGCATCTTCAAAGAATTAATAAACTCAAATTAGGGAAATAAAAAGATATGAAATCCACAGATAACAAATACCACCAGGGATGGCCTAAAAAACAGGAAAGTGACAATTCATTTAAGCAGCCATTCCATGAGTAAGTTCAAATGCTTATACATTTATTTGCACATCCAAATATGAGCAAAGAAATACCGCAACCATTCATGGCAACCAAAATTCCCTATTACTGGTATAGGTCAAAGAGCCATAAGAAAGATCGTAGAAATATGATAATCGTTCGTGTCCATTGAAGCATCATATGTACTTCAACTGGAAAAAAATACCAAATAGAACCAATAACAAATGTATCTCCGTCTGTCAGAAATGTAATGACTGTCTAACAAAAGGCATCTTCAAGCAGTAGCTCCCTTGAGATATGCAATCAGATCAGCACGTTCTTTAGGTTTCTTTAATCCAGGGAAGACCATCTTAGTTCCAGGTATGTACTGCACCAATAAACAGTTCACATTTAATGAAATCAATCAATTATTTTTGCAACTCCAGCTACTCATGTACCTTCAAGTTTATAAAGATCAAATAAAATCAACAGAAGGAGATAATAACACTAAGATCCTTCTCATAATTAACCAACAGAAGGAGATGATAACACTAAGATCCTTCTCATAATTGACCAACTACTCCCTCCAGACACAACAGACTGAAAAAATAAATATTTAACACCAGAACCAACAGGTAAAACAGGGAGGTTTGCAACTAGTGCGCACAATATCTATGTAATAATGGACTTTCCAAGCCAGGTATGCATATATACTACATATAGTAATACAAATACCAAACCACATGCAACTTTTTTATGGCAAACCCCATACCTGTTATATACTTCAATCCTAGGTGAGAGTATTTCTTTCTTTTTTTTCTGTTTGTTCGTAAATACACTCCTATCAGATGTGAAACCGCAAGGGGAATATAATAGGGGCAAACAGATGTACGGTATACTCTTTGTATCAACTTGCAGATCACATCAGGCACAAGAGCTCGGGTTTTACATGAATTGACAGAATGAGAACCATATAACACATGAAGAAGGTCATATTCACAGCCAAAAATTAAGCCTAGACTCAAATGCCGTGAAACTCCAACAAACACATGCCCTAACAAAGACTTACCATAAACATAAAATGGAATGATATCTTCAAAATGCTCACACAGTGTGTACTTATAGATCCAGATTAGAGTTCTATAAACCAATTCTCAAATACATTGGTCCTATTGATGTACCTTCTTAGGATTAAGCAAGTAGTCATAAAGTGTATGCTCTTCCCAGTTCACGGCCTTGTTCTTGTTGGCAGCTGAGTAAGAATAACCAGGTGTAGTACCAGACTGTCTTCCGAAAAGGCCATTCAAGTTGGGACCTGGAAATCTCAAAGACATGCATAAGAACTACGAACAAGGCAGCACCAGCAGCCAAAAGAACATAATACAACCGGGCAAATTAAGTTATACAAGATAACATGCTTCATCAAGAATAGAACACAGACATACAGCCACGTATGCGAGCACACAATGATTAGCATAGGGGACTAATTAAGCAAGAAAAGTATGTTTCCAGTTGAAGAACACAAATCTATGTGCCCCTACCAACTGAGCTGAAGGAAAGGAACTCCATAATCCAATGAACCAAGTACATAACCCAAATCGAACAACTGGAACACATATCTAGTGCACTACATTATGGATAGGCTGAAATGTAACAGGAAACAGATCAAAATACGGCACAAAAACTTTTTTCATCAAAATCAGATTCCACAAGCACTCAGATCGCTACAAATCTCGCCCCCAGCAACATCAGATGCATTGTGTTGCAAAACGAAACCGACTTAAACCAATAGATGAATCCTCTACCTCATCAAGGCTACTGAACCAAAACCAAAAGGCCAAAACGACGTTCAGACAAGTATTACTAAACGCCACGAGATCTATGAAAATCTATTTTTTTAAGGACGACACCAACACCAGATCGAGTGCACAAACATCAAAAGGAGCAAAACCAAACGAAATCCGGCACGCTATTGAACAATAATTTGAAAAATAACAGGAGAAATTGAGAAAATAAATGAAAATACCCTGCTTGTGGCCAGCGCCCTTATCGACGGTATGGCACTGCGCGCACTTGGTCCTGAAGATCTTCTCACCGGATTTGAAATCGCCAGGCGGAGCTTCATCGAAGGTCGCCATTGAAGAATTAGGTAACTGCAAATGTAACAAAAACCTAATAAGGGGATTTGGGCGTTGAATGAAAGCGAAAGAGAAGAAGATTCTCGATTTCTGAAAGGTAACGGGCGGAGCAATATTAATATAGTAGCGTGCCTTTGGGGCGGCGGGCACGCGTCCCACATAATTACGATTATGCCCCTTCGTCTAGTCAAAGACCTCAAACTGTCAAACTTGGGCCTATCCTCCGTGTCTCTCAAGTCACAGGTAACAGTCCAAATCCCCGGCCGGGTTCGCGGGTCACCAGTTCAAAATGATCGTGCGCGATGCACGGCATGATGTTAAAAAAGAAACAGTGTTAAAATAAATTGGTTCTCTTAATTTAAAATAAAAAAAATGCTCTTGCATATAAAATAAAAAAGAATTTTTTTATTACACATTCTGGAACACTTGCTTAATTAAATATAACATTAGTAGTGAAAGAACCGGGCTCATTATCACTATTGCCATCACAAATACCAATTTTTAGACCATTGGCGGGACTACGGGCTCGATAGATTAACAGCACCCACGGCCCATTTCCTTCCTTTTTTTTTCTTTTCCCTTCGGGCCATTTCTTTATTTCTCCCCAACATAACTTTCAGCCCATTTATTCTATTCTATTCTTCTTTTATTTTCTTCTCTTCCCAAATTTTCGTCCAGATCAATTCTTAATTCACAGCCTCACAGGATATACAATTTTTATCAATTCTAAAACAAACAAAAAGTCTCTCTATCTCTTCTTTATTTCTTTGGCTTGACGAATGTGTATACAATTTACAGACGACAACCATCCGAGAAACAACCGCCAGATCTGCGAGTGTGGGTTCAACGATGGCGACAAAACGATTGGAGGGCGGTGAGAAGTGGCGGCGCCCCCAGGTTGCAAGGCTATTCGTGGTCTAAGGTGAGTTGGTGTCTAGGTTACAAATTTCGGGTCAATTATCAATTCTCTGTTTTACTAATTGATTTTGAAATTCAGGCCATACTCAATGTAGTTCGTTTGTGAATGTGAGAATTGAGAATTGCTTTGTGAATTGAGAATTTCTCTGTGAAATTAAGGCCCGCTCTTGGCCCTAGATGTATATTTATTTGTCTATATATGATCTGAGTGTACACTCGTGTTTATGTGCATGCTTGTGTCTATTTATGAAGATGTAAATAAATTTTTTCTTAATGTGAAAATCTACAGTCTTCGTTTTTTGGAAGAATATTTTAAAAAAAATATATTACCTAGGCGTTCAAAAAATATCCGTGGGTCGCAATATCATTATGCTTCCTTTTTTTATGTGGTATGGTTGTAGATTTTGTTATCTTCATTTTGTTGATCTTTTGATGAATATACTATGTTTTAGTGATTCGGTTTATAAGGACTTTATATAATCTGTTACCTTAATAAGTTAGAAAGAGTCTCTAGAATGGTCAAATTGCGATGTACGAAGGGATTGTTTAATTCCCTAGATATATTTGAATGAGTTACAAAAAATGTAAGATCAATAAATTAGAATAATAAATTTCAAGATCTTGGATAAGATGAAAATTATTTGTTCCTATATGAATTTCCATTATGTTGCTTTTGGACTGTACAAAACTGCCTTGGGTCGCTACAGAAACAGCCTCCTTGTATAATTACAAGGGTAAGGTCTGTGTACAACTGACCCCCCAGACCCCAACCTGTTGGGAATATACTGGGTATGTTGTTGTTGTTGTTGTTGTTGTTGTTGTTGGACTGTACAAAACTGGTTTCTAGAGTGAGTTATGAGTTAGTACTTATAAATATCTTGCTCTCAATCACAGTTATCAATCAAATGAAACCCATTCATAATTCAAAAATTAGCTTTAAACCCTTCAGAATCTAGTTGGATTGGTATAAAATGCATTAAAAGTAACATTATACATTAATTATACATAATCGAGAAATAGACAATAAAAGAATGAATTTAGGATCTCAAATACAAAGATAAATTCCAATTCAACCATTCCTAAAGAGAAAAAAGTTTGTAATTTGTAATTATAAGAAAGATATGTATATGTAAATATAAAAAGACATATATAAATGAGCGGTGTATTTTTCTTGAATAGCTACAAACAAATATGGGCTTTCTAATAAGTCAGAGGCCCTGTGAATACATATCCTGTGAATACATATATTTCTGGCAAGATAGAAATGCTTGTTTCTGGCAACATATTACTATAGTTGTACTTGGTTGATACGTTCACTGGCTGGTTAGTTTCCATGTGATTTTTTTTTTGTGCTTCAATGACTCTGATTTTAATCACTCCGTCCTTGAACTAATTTAATTGTGCTGAATCTGGTATATTTTGCATGAAAGACATAGTGCTGAAGCTGGTAGATTTTTGCCATTTCTTGAAGTTATTGAAGGCTGATTGTATTGAAATATTTATATACAGAAACTTCATTATATATTTCCAAATGATAGATATAATTATTCTCCCTTTTATTTTTTTCCTGGTGTCTTAGAAAAACTAAAGTCCAATTATTGAAGGTTGATTGCACTTAACATAGTATATACATAAGATAAATTTCATTATATATTTATTTATTTATTTATTTATTTATTTTTTGTACAAAATTTCATTATATATTTATGAATGTAGATATCAGATATACTTATTGCCTTTACATTTTTCGTTGCAGGTGTCAACAACCAAAGAAGTTACTTGAATGTTGAGAGTACAAAAACCAAAAAATTGACTTTTCATTTTACAAAAACCGAAATTTTAGTTGAATGTTGACATGTGTGATGTCAGGGTATAAAAAAAAAAAAAAGTTACATGAATATTGATGTTGACTGCTTTTAATGTATGTACATCGCAAATACTTAGGCACACCTTGCTAGGTGTGCCAAGGCAGAGAGTGAATGCACGTAAAAAAAAGGAGCGTGGCCTTAAAATGAAAATCTTGTCCAAAATTCTTTCCCATGCGCAGAGAGAGAGAGAGAAAAAAAAGGTGGTAAAAAGTGGAACTTCCTTCCGCCAAAATTGGGCTCATTTTTCAAGGCAAAAAATCCTGTTTCACTCCAGTTTTCTCTTCTAAAGGCAATCGTCGATTTTATATTCTGCAAAACTGAATTTTCCGATGGTGATATTACAAGATGTAGACGCATCCCTTGGGTTTTGTAATATTGAAAATGAACATGTTCATTTTAATCTGGAGAATGAACATGTTCATTTCGGAGATGGAAGTGTAGTTGGGTCTTCCAATCTGGAAAAAAGTGTAATTGGGTCTTGCAATTCGGAAACAACTTCTTTATTTGAGGATGAACATGTTGATTGTAATGAAACTGCGGTAATATCGCTTGATGAAGATGATGAACATGTTCATTTTAATCTGGGGGATGAACATGTTCATTTTGGAGATGGAAGTGTAGTTGGGTCTTTCAATCTGGAAAAAAGTGTAGTTGGGTCTTGCAATCCGGAAATAATTTATTTATTTGAGGATGAACATGTTGATTGTAATGAAACCGCGGTAATATCGCTTGATGATGACGATGAACATGTTGATTGTAATGAAACTGCGGTAATATCCATTGATGAAGCCAATGGTGAAGGCGCAGGTAATTCAGAAACCATGTTCATTCTACAATCAAATATGTTCATTTCATAATGAAAGATACTCATAAACACATGTTCATTGTTGTATATAAACATGTTCATTTTATTTTGTAGAAAAAGTTCATTTTGGTTTTAAACATGTTCATTTCATTTTGTTTTCACACATGTTCATTTTTTATATAATTATGTTCATTTCTGTATTAAACATGTTCATATATTAAATAGGTGTTTATTCTCTTTGTTTTGGAAAAGTTCGATATGGAATGCATACATGTTCATTTCTTAACTCAACATATTCATTTCTTACCGGAACATATTCATATTTTTGTAGAGATCGATGATGAAAAATTGCTTGGGATGAAATTTAATTCCTTGGAAGATGCTTATGAATTCTACAATTCATATGCGAAGAGACATGGTTTTGGAGTTAGAAAATTCAGGTCAAGAAAGAAGAAGGATAATAATGTATATTGGAAACAATTTTGTTGCAATAAGCAAGGGTTTAAAAGCAAAGTGGACAAAGAGAGGAGTTATACAAAATTGAAAACGCGGGTTGGTTGCAAGGCAATGATTCAACTTCTTTTTGATGGTGCTAATTGGATAGTGGAGCAAGAAGTGGATCAACACAACCACGAGTTAGTTCCATGCAATCAAGCCCGCTATTTTCGCTCTCACAGGGATATGCCTTCGAATGATGTAGCATATTTGTCACAATTAAAAGCTAGTGGAGTTGGTGTTACCGTTGGTTATATGGTTCTTTCGGATCAAGCTCGTGGTGTTCAAAATATGCCCTATACAATAGTTGATGCCCGTAACCACGTTGCAAAGCTTGAACGGAGAATTTGGGAAGGCGGTGATGCAAATGGCCTACTTAATATATTGAAAGAAAGACAGGCCCGAGAAGATGAATTTTATTTTAATTATGATCTGAATAAGGAGACAGCATCATTGTGTTCCATTTTTTGGAGGGATTCTCGCATGAGGAAGGATTATGAGGTGTTTGGTGATTTAGTTGTATTTGATACTACTCATAGGACAGTTAAGTACAATCTTGCATGTGCTCCATTTACAGGGATGAACCATCACAAGAGAAACATTATGTTTGGTGTTGGTTTTTTGCTTCATGAGGACAAGGATTCATTTCAGTGGTTGTTGGATGAATTTCTGAAGTCAATGGGTGGGAAGCAGCCTGCCACAATAATGACCGATGAAGATGCAGCCATGGCAGCTGCAATTCCATTGGTGTTAACGCAATCCCGACATCGCTTGTGCACCTGGCATATTGACGAGAATTCAAAAAAGCACATTCAGTATCTTCGGATAATGCCCGGTTTCATCAATCTTTTTCATTTGGTTTTGAGATCAACGGACACAATACCGGAATTCGATTTTTATTGGAAAAAGTGAGTTATTCAATTTATATTTGAACACGTTCATTCTACAATTAAACATGTTCATTTAATAATGAAACATGATCATTTATCACTGTAACTTGTTCATGATAATAATTTTTGTAGATAAAATTAATTTTCGTATAAAAACATGTTCATTTATTTATCAAACATGTTCAAATCATACTGAAACATTGTCATATATTAAATAGGTGCTTATTCTGTGTTTTAGAAAAGTTCAAAGAACATGTCAAATAGAATGTAGACATGTTCATTAGAAAACTGAACTTGTTCATTTTGTAATGAAACATTTTCATATCATACTGTAACATGTTCATGATTTTATTTTTGTAGAAAAAGTTCATTTTGTTTTAAACATGTTCACTTTGTATACAAAAATATTCATTTAGTTATTAAACATGTTCACTTTGTATAAATAAATACTCATTTAGTTATTAAACATATTCATTTTGTATATGAACATATTCCTCTAGTATACGAACATGTTCATTAGAAACGCTCATTTTTTATACGAACATGTTCAGTATACAATTACACATATTCATTTCATACTGTAACATTGTTCTTGATACTTCAGTATGTGTGATACATACAATTGCGCTGATGATAAATGGCCGAAGCGGTTGTATTCAAATCGTCACAAATGGTGTCCAGCCTTTAACAAAACTCATTTCTCTGGTGGTATATTGTCATCCCAAAGGAGTGAATCAACAAACAACTCAATTTCGGCGAAACTTCCCAAGACTGCTCGATTGTGTGGCTTTTATTCTCATTTTGTCAAAGTTCTTGAGGAGTGGAGAGAGAAGGAGAATAAAGATGACTTTCGGTACAACAATGGCCGTGTGGAATGTCAATTCCCTGATAATTCCCTACTCCTTAATGTTCGTGAGTTGTACACAATTGAAGCATATATTCATTTTGAGCAACTGTATATAGCTGCAATTTCGTGCAAGATGGAAGTCGTTGGAGCACCACAAAGCATTGGAATTGGAAATAATGGGAATGTTGTTTTATGCTATGTTCAAAGGGCAAATGTGGATGTGTTCAAGTACCAAGTAAATTTCAACTTAACTTCTCGTGAGGTTAGGTGTTCATGTGATTTGTTTTCGGAGGTTGGTTTCCTTTGCTGCCACTGTCTTAGGGTGTACATCGTTTTTAATGTCGAAAGAGTTTCGGATATGTATGTACATCCAAGGTGGCGTCGGAATGCCAATTTGAACTGTCGTTTAGACTTGGAGGGAACCCAATATTCTGCGGGTTACCATGTGCCAGGTACATATTCATTATACAATAGAACTTGATCATTTTGTATTGAAACATGTTCATGCCTTACTGAAACATGTGCATGATATTCATTATACAATAGAACATGTTCATTTAGTATTGACAACATGTTCATTACTGAATCAAATATGTTCATTTCAGGTGCATGCCTTTGGAGATCCGACAAAATATGCCAGTTTCTAAAGATTGTTTCATCGAGTGAAATGGATCAAAATGCCAAAGATATTGTTGATGAATGTTTGAGATCCATGTCTGATCGGATAGAGTCTTATTTTTCTTCATTAGCTACAGATGAACCATCTTGTACCGAGAAATCTTCTGCCGCGAATGTTAACGATCCAGAGAAATTGAGGCCTAGAGGAGAACGAAACATTCGACGGAAAAGTACTGTGGAGAAAATTTCAAGACAATCAAAGGGGAAGCACAAGAAACGAGCTTCATTGAGGAATAGGAACACCATGTTTAACCGGGTCTTTTCTACAAACCCTGAATTTGTCGGACGGTTTGTGCATCCTTTTCCTCCTAACCAAGATTCTCAAGATGATCCTAGAGGCTCTGGATACAATCCTCCAGTCATGAACATGGCCTCTCAAGATACCTTTTGTTTTCTATGAACATGTTTTGTTTTCATATGAACATGTGTCTTTTGCAACATGCACATGTGTATTAACCCGATGAACATGTTGATTTTGCACATGTTGTATGTTGATTTTGTAAGTAATGTGTTTCTTAACTCGATGCATTTGTTTATTTATAAAATAAACATTTCAAATTATAAGATGAATATGTTAGGTTATGAGATGATTATGTTTATTACCGCGATGAATATGTTGATATTCTATGAAGAAATATGTTAATTAACATAATGAATATGTTTATTTGTAAAATGAACATGTCAACTCGACTCTACTATAATTTGACTCGATTATACTAAGTTTGACTAGATTATACTAGATTTTGACTCAATTATACTAAGTTTGACTAGATTATACTAGAATCCACTTGAATATACTATAATTTGACTCGATTATACTAGAATTCACTTGAATATACTATAATTTGACTTGATTATATTAAGTTTGACTAAATTATACTAGAATTCGACTCGATTATATTTAAGTTTGACTAGATTATACTAGAATTCACTTGAATATACTATAATTTGACTCGATTATACTAAGTTTGACTAGATTATACTAGAATTTGACTCAATTATACTAAGCTTGACTAGATTATACAAGAATTTGACTCAATTATACTAAGTTTGACTAGATTATACTAGAATTCACTTGAATATACTATAATTTGTCTCGATTATACTAAGTTTGATTAGATTATACTAGAATTCACTTGAAAATAATATAATTTGACTCTATTATACTAAGTTTGACTAGATTATACTAGAATTTACTTGAATATACTATAATTTGACTCGACTATACTAAGTTTGACTAGATTATACTAGAATTCACTTGAATATACTATAATTTGACTCGACTATACTAAGTTTGACTAGATTATACTAAGTTTGACTCAGTTATACTTAGTAAAATGGATACGTTTCTTGGTAAAATGAATATGTTATTTTGTAAAATGAATACGTTACTTGGTAAAATGCACATGTTTATTTGAAAAATGAATATACTATAATTTGACTCGATTATACTAGAATTCACTTGAATATACTATAATTTGACTCGATTATACTTTGTAAAATGAACGCCTTTCTTGGCAAAATGAATATGTTGATTTGTAAAATGAACGCCTTTCCTGGTAAAATGAATATGTTGATTTGTAAAATGAATATGTTGATTTGTAGAATGAATATGTAGATTTGTAAAATGAGTATGTTGATTTGTAAAATGAATATGTTACTTTGTAAAATGAAGAAGTTTCTTAATATTATGAATATGTTTAACACTAAATATTTGTCTTAACAGAGAACTAACACAAGGAAAGAACCAACATGTTTATCAAAACCGAACAAACAGAGAACTAACACTACATCTATCAAAGTTGTTCATTTATCACTCGATTGTCTTTTCAGCGAAATAATTACTCAAATCCTCTCGGACAACATCTGATTTCTTGTTTATTGGAGACTCGATCAATTTGGCCAAGTACTTCACCCGCAAAGTGTCCAACTTGTTCTTCATGTGGACCTTTTTCCTCTGAAATGGACAATATAATCAACATCAGTTTGACTTGTAACATGCAACTCATGTAAACATTAAAAATTTAGGATGAAAAATATTACTGAATCACTGCCTATCACAGGGAATCCGCAATCATGGCCATCTGCATGCACACAAACATATTTGGACATGTGATGCATTGCATATATTCCGCAGTCCGTTGTGTTTGTTGAATCTGCGCAGTGCATGTTCACCAGTTTCAAGGCAAGCTTGTTGAACGGGGTCTTGAAGGGTTTCTTGTACATTTTTCTGTACGCTTCAATGACCTTTTTCTGTTTGTTGATGCCAGAATTAATAATTGTTTTTGTTAAACAATAAAAAAACTATATAGAATGTAAGTTGAAATAGTCAAGTCTTACCAAGAAATCTTTAGTTCCGCCATACTTGTTTTTAAGTGGCACATTTCCCCTCAACACTGTATCCAAGTTATCAAGAATGCCTAGTTTTTTATTTTCAAAGTCCAAACAGTAGAGATAGAAGTGGGTCTGAAAATAGACTGGGACAATAAGCTGAAAAATGGAACAGACCAATGTAAGATGAAAATGTTTAACACTAAGATGAATATGTTTTATAATGAGATGAACATATTCTATTTACTCACATGGCTGATATTCTTGATATCATGATTTGAAAGCCCTTCTTCTGCGAACTCGACATCCATCCTTGCAGCTGCTTCCCTCACATATTCATTCGGATCTCTGTTACTCATAGCTTGTAAGGACAATCCCATCTACAAAGTATGTCGAATGTTTAGTGTAAGAGATATGCCGAGGTGTTAGTAGTTCATCACATATGGATTCTTACCATGACATTAGTTGTTAAGCAGAATTTATTCTTATTTTTATTCAAGCTGTGGACTCTGAAATTCAAGTGCATCGCCCAAGCATCAACAATTGTTGATGAAATATACTCTCCAAGGTTGAAGGTCTTGAAATCCTCTCTTGTGCAGGCCAGTTGTAATCCTTCAAAGATGACTTCTCTGTAACAGTTACACAAAGAAAGGATGAACATGTTATATAATATAATGAACATTGTATACAACCAGATGAACATGTTATATAATTTAATGAACATTGTATACAACAAGTGAACATGTTATATAATTTAATGAACATTTAATACAACTGGATGAACATGTTACAGAATAAAATGAACATACGTGGTTTTTTCAGCATTGTCGTTGTCCCCTTCCATTATAAAGTTCCAAAATGCTCTTTCCTTCAGAGTGCACTTGCCTCTGATTTCAACATGCCCTTTCCAGAAGGGAGTTGATAGGAAAGGGGGATCCAAATCGCTGTCCTTATTGCCTTTTTCTCCAAGAACCATCCTGTAATATTCATAATATTAGTTAGTTTGTCAATTTGCAAGTTGAATGTTTGACTAGCACAAAATATATACTCTTCAAATAATAATCTTCTCTCAAATGGAGTTTTGGTGTCTTCTCTCCCCTAGCTTCTTCTTCCAAATTTTTTTTTTTCAGGAGTCTTCTCTCCTCCAGTTTGTTCTTTTTCTTCCAAATCCTTTTTTTCCGGAGTCTTCTCTCCTCCAGTTTGTTCTTTTTCTTCCAAATCCTTTTTTTCCGGAGTCTTCTCTCCTCCAGTTTGTTCTTCTTCTTCCAAATCCTTTTTTCCCGGAGTCTTCTCTCCTCCAGTTTGTTCTTCTTCTTCCAAATCTTTTTTCTCCGGAGTCTTCCCTCCCAGCTCTTCTACCACCGAAACATCTCCTTGCAGATCATTTTTTTCAGAAGACTTCTCTCCCAGCTCTTCTACCACTGAAGCATCTCCTTGCAGTTCAGAATGCATAAATAAATATTCAGACCCAAATGAATATGTTATTCAATAAAATGAACATATTTAAGAACGCAACGAACATGTTACATGTATCTTGTGCTTGTTGTTGCCCATCAGTTGCAAGTTCTTTCTAAATTCCTTCCCGTTCTTGCACCACAACATCATCCTCATCCACTTCCTTATTACTGCCTTGTCCATCCCCATATTCATTGAAAATATCTGACAAAATAGATTGAATTCCTTCACATTGAATTCATTCACCGTTAGAATGATTAAATAAATATTCAGACCCAAATGAATATGTTACTCAATAAAATGAACATATGTAGGAACGAAATGAACATGTTACCTGCATCATGTGCTTCTTGTTGTCCATCAGTTGCCATTTCAGTCTCAATTCCTTCATTTCTTTCCACATCATCATCCTCTTTCTCTTCCTCATTTTCTAAGATAATGAACATGTTTAAGATAATGAATATATAATGCAATAAGATGAACATGTTTGAGAGAGAAATGAACATGTTACCTCCATTCTGTTCTTGTTCTTGTTCCTGTTCCTGTTCCTCTCGATCATTTGCCACTTCATTTTCAATTCCTTCTTGTTCTTGCACCAAAACATCATCCCCAACCTCTACATGAATTGACTCCTCATCCTCATTTTCTAGATAATGAAATGAACATGTTAAATATGGATATGAACATGCTTAAGAACATATTTAAGATAATGAATATGTCATTCAATCATATGCACATGTTTAAGAATGAAATGAACATGTTAAATATGGACATGAACATGTTTAAGATAATGAATATGTCATTCAATAAGATGAACATGTTTTAAAATGAAATGAACATGTTACCTGCATCTTCTTCCTGCTCCTGTCCATCAAAACCCATTTCATCATCAATTCCTTCATTTGTTTGCACATCAATAACACCTTGTGCGACTTTCATGATAACTGATGCATGGTTCTGAAGTGCATGATGAATAATGAGGGCAGCACCCAAATCCGAGCTCTTTGCCCTTTCACACACCTCTCGAACTTCAGACACGAATGGTGCTATATTTGTCATAGCTCTTTCAAACCTTTCAACCAAATTTTCTTGCTGTTTCTTTTTAGGAAAAAAACTTGTATGAGATGAAGCTGTTATATTATTATATGAACATGATACATTATGATATGAACATGTTTTACAATGAGATGAACATGTTGGTTAAAGGGATGAAGTTGTTGTATGAAGGGATGAACATGTTTTAGAGTAAAGATCAACATGTTCTATTATTTTGTGAACATGTTGTCTGATAAGATGTACATGTTGTAGAAACATATGAACAGAATTTACCTCGACCACATGTTCATCAGCTAATGTGGCTGCTTGATCCGCTCCATCTCTTGGTGGTTTGATGGGATCAAGTATTGACCCCATCCCAAAACCCTGGCCACTCTGCTCTTCCCTAACTCTCTTGAAAATTGCTTGATTTGTCCAATAAGCAATAGCAGGGAATTTCCGGGGCACATAAGTCTTGTTCATAAACTGGACCCTGTCCAGATAGCATACTACCAAGAAAGTGAGTGGACCATTAAAATGGGCCTCTCCACCACTTTCATTCCACATCTTCACCGATTCAGAAAGAGCTTGTAACACATACTGGCACCAATTGTAATTGATGATGTCAGACGGTTTTCGCAACGATTGGAGCAATCTAAACTTGCATTCTTGGCCCCTATTTCTCCAGAGAAATAGGGACACCACAGCAATCACAAAAATTCTTTTAAAGTCATCTCCATAGACTCTCTGTCCTCTCTCAACGTCCTTTCCAGTTAAATATTGCACCAGCTTTTTGGCTGTTGGAGCTCCAGCCGTACGCTTAAAACCAAAGGTCTCCCTGAAATCCCCAAGCATCTTATTATATTGTTCATCTTTGTCATACCAATCTCCCTCAATGACCTCTTTTGGTCCTCTCGGTAGGCCCAGAACAGCCTCAACATCTTCTGCGGTAATATTCATCTCTCTATTACCGCGGAGAATGAGAGTGTTACTGGCATACCTGTGATAACATGTGATATAATGTGATGTACATGTTTAATAAGAAAATGAACACGTAGTAGAATGAAAATAACATGTACATTATAATGAAAATAAAATTTCACAAATTACCTGTACTGTGTGACCAAGTAATAACAAAGATTTGGTGGCGCAATTTGTGTAATCTTCATGTCGAGAAGATGACCAAAACCTACACTCTTCACATCTTCTTTCTGTCGGTCATCCAAGTCTTTGAAAAATTTGTACAACGCTAGAGGGGAAACTCTATTTAAGAATCCCCCTTCTTCTTTTATTTCATAGGTTAATTTTGGCTTCTTTCTTTCAGTTTGCTTACTCAGAGTATCAGTTTTCCTTTTTCTACAAAAATAATATCATGAACATGTTACAGTATAATATGAACATGTTACAGTATAAAATGAACATGTTAAATTGTATAATGAACATGTTCAAATATAAAATGAACATGTTACAGTATGATATGAACATGTTTCAGTATTTAATGAACTTGTTCTATTGTATAATGAACATGTTCAATTACAAAATGAACATGTCTACATTCTATATAAGATGTTCTTTGAACATGTATAGCAACGAAATGAACATGTGTAGTAAGAAAATGAATATGTTTAAAAGCAAATTGAACATGTTCAAATGAACCAATATACGAATGAAGATGAACAAGGCGGACATACCGTTCACCAACATTTTCTGGCCGTTGTTTCGACCTATTTTTCCTACGGGCTTTAATTTTATCCTGTGTGGCAAAAAATTTATAACACATTATACAATCTTCTAGAATGACTACTTTAAACCCTAGGCACAGAAATTTGAAATTGAAAATAGGGTTTTGGCAAGTGAATTGAATCTCTAATCGGAATGGTTTCAACCCAAGGCACAAAATACATACCAGCATCTTCCGCAATGTCTCGTTTTCCATCTGCCATGAAGTAGGGTTTTTCATTTCTAAGTTTAACATTTAAAATTTATGAAATTGAAATTTAATCGACATGAAAAGCAAAGAAATCTTACCTGGGAAGTAGAGATCGTCGGAAATTGAGCGTTTTTCACTTAAAATTGTCTTCTCCGGGAACTTTTGCTCGTGAAACAGAGAAAAGTAAGAGAAAACAATGGTGAGAATGAAGAGGAGTTGCAGTTGCAGTTGGGGGAGAAGCGGTTGGAAAATCGAGGCACGATGCCGGCAAAATTGGGAAAAAAAAATAAATGAGCAAAAAGTTGGATTTGAAAGGGCGCGTGGTTTCACGTTAAATAAAAAGCTTTTCTACTCCATTTTTTGATCTGGCTGGCGCGTGCAAATCTGGCCTGGCACACCTAGCAAGGTGTGCCAAGGCACACGATAGTGCAACTGAACTGATATACATAAATCAAATTATTGATGTAATTTTATTTTACTTTATTGATTGATTAATATTGGAGTTATCAATTTCAGACAACAATGTCAGACTAATTTATGATAAGTATTTAATATAGATTTGAGCGGGAAAAGAAGTTTATTCCAGCTGCTTCAGTTTAATATATATATATATATATATAGATGATCCGGCCTGTACCTACTGAAAAGAAAAAAAATTATTATAACTTAAGTATCATTAACTCAAAATATAGCCTAGCCCATTACTAAAAAAAAATGAAAATTAAAGACAATTCTTACATAAGCACCAACAACCAAAAGAAATAAAAAAAATAAAATAAAAAATAAAAAGGGACATAATAGAAAAAAGAGATCATTGTTCTTACTAATTTTAGTGAAAGTAAATTTAACATTCTTATCATTGTTCTTAATTATCTAAAAGAATAATATCATCTATTATAATTTGTGTGTGGTTAAAAACTTAAATTGTAGGCTCTTAAGTTTGACATATTAGTAAAATATTTTATACATTATAATTTTTTTTTTTACATCAAATTATGGAGAAAAACTTTTTAAAAATGCTTCAAAAAAGCACTTATGAAATTGTTTTAAAATGAGATACTTTCATTCCAAATATACTTGAGTTGAATATAATTGGTTCTAAAGAAAGGCGACGAAGAATTCAACGATGTTATTATAGAGTAATATTGAGCTATGAAAACTCATAAGTTTATTATAAATTTGTGTTTTTATATTTATATTTTCTATGATAGTATAATATATTTTTTTTAATAATAAATAGACCTTCACTAATTCTATTAGCTAGATCCGTCCCGACGGGTAACCACATGTCTAGTCACAGAGAGTATATATATTTATTCCTAGTTATTTTTTTTTTGGTACAATGAACCTTCCGGTTTCCGAATCCCCTAGGGGACCGACTAATCCGGAATCGATTTATTCCTAGTTATTAATAGTATAAATACTAGTCGAAACATGGCTGTGGTGTCACATCTTTACACCATATTTATTATAATTAATACCGCAATAAAAGTGAATTATAAATGATGTTAAAAAAGAAGGCTTTATTTATAAAGAAATACTAATGCACACATATATGAATTGATTAAACATATTTTGCATGTGGTATTATACTTGATTAACAATCAAGTCTATGTATATGCACATATATAAATAAAATATTATATGACATAAAATATATCTCATTTGGGAGGGGATAAGCGAGAAGCCGCTTTGCAGGGCGCCTTCTTCAAAAAGGTCTAATGGAACAAAATCTCCAAAACAGCTGAAGAAAAGACAGAAGCAAGACTCTTGGGTCGAACCCCAGACTTTGAATTCAGACCTGCTTTTCAAGTATTTCATATAGTAAGCATTTTTCGCAATACGTCAGACCTGGGGACGTGAATCGATCATGACGAGAATAGACTAAGAGTCACAGTCCCTTCTCGCCCAGACAAATCTAATTCAGGTCAATTACATCGAGCCTATCTATATTCTAGAATAGAATTCTATTATTATTATTATTATTATTATTATTATTATTATTATTATTATTATTATTGTTACACTGAAGTTATTTATGCAATTTTAAAGGACTTTTTATTCCATTAAACTAATTAACAATTAAAAAAAGTTGCTTAATGAGATAAAAATAAAATAATGATATTAATTTTAAAACTAAAAAAATAAAGAAAAAAATTACTATCAATTTTTATTTATATAAGTGTATAATTTTCATACATTTTTAGTGTGAATTTATAATTGATTAATATTAGTAATAAATATTATGTGATAAATATGTTAAAAAATATTATTGTAATTAATTAATACAAAAATAATGGTGGGTTTTCATAATTAAATGAAAAAAGAATATCATCAATTTTTTGTTCCCCTCTCTCTCTCTCTAAATATATATATATATATACTAGGGGTTTATTGCACGAAATCCCCCTGTATTATATGAAATCTGCGCGTTTTCCCCTGGTATTTTAAAAATTGCGTCAAACCCCCTTGTATTAAGTAATTGTTGCACGATACCCTCCTCTCCGTCAAACTTCACGGCGCGTGTAACACACATACATGTACTGCGATAATTATTTATTTTTTTCATTTATTTTTATTTTAAAATTGAAATTTACTATTTTGCCCCTTGTTGCGTTTTCCCCTGGTATTTTAAAAATTGCGTCAAACCCCCTTGTATTAAGTAATTGTTGCACGATACCCTCCTCTCCGTCAAACTTCACGGCGCGTGTAACACACATACATGTACTGCGATAATTATTTATTTTTTTCATTTATTTTTATTTTAAAATTAAAATTTACTATTTTGCCCCTTGTTTTTCTACCAATTGATGGACAAAATGTTTTGCTGCTCCTAGGATTCGAACCTGGGCCAAAACATTAATAGACAAGACTTCAAACCACTTGGCCACCATCATTCAATGATACATATTTAACACAGATTCATTTAAACAACACGAACAGTGGAAAACTTAATCAAACAAAAATTAAAAAATAAAATAAACACTAAATAATGTAATATAAGAAAATATAATAAAAATAAAATAAAATAAAAATTAAATTGAATAAAATTTAATGTAAAATTTGAAAATAATATATAATTATACTACTATTTAATATAAAAACAAAAAGATAAATTCATATAAAAAATTAAAAAATATAAATATGAAATAAATTATAAAATTAAATTTAAATATACATTTTTATATTGAATTAATATAATAAAAATAAATAAAATAAAATAAAATTTTTTATATATTTATTAGCGTATTTTTATATGCTTAATTTTATCGCACTTATATGTTTTTAGACTTATTTATTATTTAGATGGATTCATTTGCTTTGATTATTTTATATTTATTTTCAACTTATTGGAGTATTTTCTGGACACGAAGCATTGTACGATCAATTACTGTCGCATATCGGTCAAAGTTTAAGCCCACTTGTTAAACGATTAAACCAAAAGTGACATGCATGACTCATCAATTGGGCTGCCCATTCACACCACTTTCTATATTAATTTGAGAGGATTTTGAATTGAGAAATAGGCCCAGCATATTCTCTTAGAGGGCCCACTTGGGTTATATTAAGTGACCCATCACAATTTGAGGAGAGTTACGCAGCCTGGGTGGGTGGAGAATTATTTATAATTTAGAATCTATTTATTCATTATTTTAAAATTTATTTATTTAATTATTATATTATTTAGAATTTATAATATATTTTATTAATTATTATATCATTTATATTTTAGAATATATTTACCGAATCAATATATTATTTATTATATTTATTTAATAATTATATTATTTTGAATTTATAGTCTATTTATTCAATCATTATATTATTTATAATTTAAAATATATTTATTTCATCGTTGTATTATTTATATATATAACGAATTATTATATTATTTTAATTTAGAATATATTTATTTAATTATTATATTATTTATAAATTAGAAAATATTTACTTAATTATTGCATTATTTATAATTTATAATCTATATACTTAATGGTTATATTATTTATAACTTAGAGTCTATATACTTAATTATTACATTATATAGAATCTACATAATTAATTATTATATTATTCATAATTTAGAATCTATATAATTAATTATAATGACATTTATAATTTAGAATCTATATACTTAATTATATGATATTTCCGCTATACTGTGTGATATATATAGATAAAATTACATTTTTAATTAAGTAAATAGTAGCCCAATTGGTAAGAGTTGTCTTTTACAATCTAAAGGTGGTGGGTTCAATCCCCACCATTGGCATTTTTCTTTTAGGTCAATATATTAACATTAAAGGTAAAATAGTAAATTCAATGTTAAAGTAAGGGTATAAAGGTAAATTCAATGAAAAAGTAATGCCGTCAGCTTTAAAGTAACGGCGTTAACTGGAAATAGCGAGTGTGCATGCAAATATGAAATACGAGGGGGTTTGACGCAATTTTTAAAATACCAGGGGAAAACTCGCAGATTTCATATAATACAGGGGGATTTCGTGCAATAAACCCTATATACTAGTTTCTTATTGGTTGTGCATAACACAGTCGGCCCAAATTTTGTTATAATTAAGTACATAGCTAACTTATAATCGAATTATATATTATGTTGCAAAAGTAAGTTGTTGATTGAGTATTAATTTTTACTATATATTATTATTTCTTGTAATGTATAATACAAAAAAAATTATCTTTCAACTGTGGATTGAGGAACGAAAAGCAATTATCTTTCAATTATGAATTGAGGCATTGGAAGTAAAATGAAATGCAAAAATTTGTCAAAACTACTTCATGTTTTCAAAAAAATTCTCTCATAGTTTTATTTTATTATAATTTTTAATCAATAGCTTTAATAATAAAGTATGTTTGATAAAGAAAATTTTTCTTAATGTACCAAAATACGTTAAAAAGAATAGAAAAATAAAAATAAACTGTAAAACAATAATCAAATGCATTAAATTGTTTTGTCTATTACAATAACAAAAAAGTAGACAAAATTGGAGAAATGAAAACAAAAACCTAATAAAGGGGAAAAGAATCCTCGTAAGAAAGAAAGAATCGCTCTCTCAAAGGACTCTTGCCTCGATAGAGACGTGATAAGTTAGAGAAATAGGATCTGGTTGGATCTATTCCCTAACCAGGACTCTCTTCGACCCCAAGGTATCTACTCTATAAAATGGCAACAAGCTCTTCTTCATCCATTATCACATTCTATGCATTTTACTTACATACTTCATATGTGTAATTTTGAGCGAGTTCTGACTTGAGCGTCGGAGGTTTTCCTGCACGGAACCTCTCCCGGCGTATTCCAAGTCATCGGAGCTCATGGACGAGGACCATTCGAGGCGTAGGCGTTCAAATAGTTGGTGACATAACACTTTGTCTGAGGATCGTGTTCATAGTTCGGTCGAGTCATTCGTTATCATTCTCCATTCATGTTGTTCTTTGTCAATCTCAAGAAGACAAGTATGCACACATACACCCAACAGTTTCTTCCTAAAAAGATATTGGCAAATATGTCAATTTCAAACATGAGATTAGTACAGTTTAGATCGAATTTTCTAGATATGGTTTTTCTCTCAGTAACAACGAAGGTTCCAAAAGGCGCTAGATGCTTGCGTGGTGGCAAGCTGGGCCTACCGCCTAGACGAGGTTAGTTGGGGCATAGGCGAGATCACAATAATACTAATAAATTTATATATATTTAAATACATTCATAACTTACAAACCATATTTTATAAAATATACTAATTAGTATTGTTATATACGAATATTTTTAAAAATATTATACACGTATAATTATTATAAAAATAAAAATTTGTTTTTATTATATTTTGAAAAAAAAAAAACATATAAATACGAGCATCTGAACCACCCAAGTCTCTGCCTAGATCGCTAATCAGTTTAGACGTGACTAACTTTGCAATTGCTTGGACCGCCTACGCAGCGCTTAATTGCCTGAAAGCCTTGAAAAGCTAGACGCAAATTGGGGGGCCCGAGTATCATCTAGGCGGGCGCTTAGCCCGACATTTAGTAGAGTAGTAACAGCAATACAGAACCTCATCCATTCCTCATCTTTTGCTTGCAGAATCTGTTACTATAGACACTCTGGACAATATCATTTATAAGAAGATTATCTTCTTTTTTACTTTTTCAGTGACTGTGGTTAGGCATAAAGGGTTTAAATAGCATAGACATGATGGTTTACTGCTTTAGAAGGTAAGGACACAGTCAATCTCGACTTACAAGAAAAACACAAAAGTAGTCGTCACAGTAAATTGAGCAGGAGCTCTCACTCAACTAAAGTAGCTCAGCTGTAGATCCAATATTAGAAAAGTATGCCAAACCTAGTACAAAAATGACAAATTGAACCAAACAAAAAACTANAAAAAAAAAAAAAAAAAAATCCCTTTTATGAGACATATTGCACACGCTCAGTTACAAATACTTTACAAGACACCATCAAGGACTGGAACACTTATCCCCAATCTCAAACTCAAGTTCCCACCATGAACTAGCCTAGCTGGCATTTCCAATTTCGACAGCACTGCATCCAGGCAGCTTCTTGGACCCCACAGCAGCCATTCTATCTCTGACTCTCCTCACATCCTCCCATCTACTGGCCGCAGCATAAATGCTGGCCATCAGAGTATGACTGCTGGATTCACTCGACTCAATCTCCAAAAGCCGCCTTGCAATACGTTCACCCATATTCACATTCTCATAGTTCCTGCAAGCACTAAGCAGTGCTCCATAAAGTGGCACGATAATATCGTTTTCTCTACCAGAGACTTTATTTATCATGTCCTCCGCCTCATCCAAGAGCCCTGCACGACCAAGAAGGTCGATCAGGCATCCATAGTGTTCAAGCTTCGGCTCTACTTTATAAACCCTAGACATGGAGTCGAAATGCATACGCCCTTCCTCAACCAGCCCTCCATGACTGCACGCACTCAGAACGCCTATAAACGTGACATCATCAGGTCTAATCCCGACTTCTATCATTTCAGAAAATAATTCTAACGCCTTAGATGTGTTCCCGTTCAAAGCAAGCGCGCATATTATGGAAGTCCACGATGCCGTATCCTTTTGTTTCAATCGGTCGAAAATATATAAGGATTTCTCTAAACAACCGCATTTTGCGTACATTTCTATTAAAGCAGTACCAACCACAGCATCAATATTTATTCGATTTTCCACCAAGTACGTGTGAATCCACTCGCCTTGTTGCAAGGCTCCCAGTTGAGCACATCCAGTAAGTAAAGCAACTAAAGTATACTTGTCCGGCTTAATTCTCTCCATCTGCATGTACCTAAACAAGGCCATAGCCTCACCAACTTCTTTAAACTGCACATACCCATTAATCATCGTCGTCCACAGGATGAGATCCCGAACTGGGGTCCTCTCAAACAGTGCACGGGCCTCATTCAGACGGCCCGCATTCACATATGCCGAAATCATGCTCGTCCAACAGATCACATTCTTTTCCGGCATGGAGTTAAATATTTCCCTGGCTATATCTAAGCACCCACACTTGGCATACATATCCAGAAGTGCATTTCCGATTATCAACGTAAAATCCAGCTGTGTTTTTACATACTCGTGAATCTCGCGACCAAGATCCAAATTTTTTAACGCCGTACAAGCAGATAGAGTGGTGACAACTGTGGCCTCATCCGGAAGCACGCTTTTCACTACCCTCATTTTCTTGTAGACACGAACAACATCTTCGAACCTGTTGTTCTTCACTAAACCAGAAATAAACACGTTCCAAGAAACCAAGTCTCTCAGCGGCATTTCATCGAACAGTTTACTCAAGCACTGTACAAACCCCAGATCTCCGTACATATTCAAAACCGAATTACAGACATAAGAATCATACAGAACTCCACTTCTCAACACGAACCCATGAATCTTTTCACCCTCACGAACCAGCCCCAGCCCCACGACGGCCTTGTACACGAAAGGGTATGTGTAATTATCGGGACACAACTCCCGCGCGCGCAATTCGTCGAACAGGAAAAGGGCTTCCCGGAAACTACCTGATTTCGCGTGAGCCTTGATCATCACGTTGTAGATGAACAGGGTCGGGCGTTCTATTCGGGCGAGTATCTTGTCAGCATGGGCTAGGTTAGCCGCCGAGGTGAAGGCCACGAGCTTGTGCAGGACGTCGATGTTGTGGTGGAGGCCATGGGTGAAGATATGGGCCTGTATTTGCCTGAGATGCAGCATGGACTTGCAGGATTTTAGGAGGTCTATGCATGATTCCTTTGTGAGTAGCCATGGCGCTCCTACGAAGGAAGAGAAGTGAAATCTTGGGATGAGATGGCACGAGTATTTTGTTACTCGCATTACGCACTAACGGTGAAGTTTACAACTTCAATTGAAAAAATTTATGCTAATTTAAAACTCATCAAACTAGCTACAAAAAACATTCATAAGATATTCTGTCTTACCATTACTAGAATAAAATTTTAGCTTATATACATATAAACTACTCTACCGGCAGAATACGTGGCGGATCCAACACTATTTTGCAACCGGTGCATGGAGAAAATCGAGATGCATTTGCCGGATGATAGCGAATCGAGCTTGGACGACCCGACTTCATAATTTCAACCCGACCTAGAAAAAAAAACAAGAGAGAAAAAATTAAATTGTAGGGGAAAAGAAAATAGAGAGAGAGAGAGGGTGAGTGTGTATCCAGTTACCAATTACATATAATTACCTTAATAATTATTTTTAAAAAAGATAAAATAATATTTGAGAAAATATGATATGTATGCAAATATTGATACAGCTCACTGCAACTGTGGATGGCAATGGGTCAGGTTGGGCTGGGTACCTGCGGACCCAGGCATGGCTCGTGTTTCTACCAAGTGAACCCGACTTGCCCCGCGACCCGCGACGGGTCCAACAGGTCAAGCCCGTGATCCAGACCTGCAATTGACGCAGTTGCTCGGCAATCCTCTCCATTTCCCGATCCCGAGGGGCTCCTTCTCCCCCATAACTAGACACGTCCTCCTCCGCGTCATGATGTACACCTGCCACCGTGGTCGGGGCAATAGTCGCTCGAGACATGCTGTTTGTCACCTGCTGCACCGCCTGTGCAGCCGCATCTGCCACCATCTGTTGCATCTCCTGCCTAGTCATCATCACTCGATGACCGAGGAGTTGCTCCTCCACTCTTGGTGGTGCCACTCCCTGCACCACCGCTCCCAACGGCTGAACCCCCGCCAGATCTGGCTGCAACGGCCCTTGCATCGCACGAGCCTCCTGAGCACGGCTCGAGCTCCTCCTAGAACCGTCGATGGGGCCCCCAAACCTTGAGGAGTAGGTGTTGGGGTCACCGGTGTTGGTAAAGGTCCAGAGAAACCCGGAGGAGGGCCTTCTCCGAACGGTCTTGTCGTCGTCCAAGCCTCATCGAACGATGGCTGCAAATTGATTCTGGGAATTCTATCCGCCATAGCCACCAAGCTTAAACAACCTTAGCACACCACTCTTCGAACGAAGTTCCCACAGACGGCGTCAAATGATAACGCACAACACTCCGACCGGCTGGAAATCGGTTCGCCTCCTCCTCCTCGCCGGTAGAATGCCGCGTACCTGAAAAGAACTCTCACGCCAGAGGGGTTTTCCAATGAAGAGCCTCCGATGCTTAAGTCAGTGTTTGTTCTACTCAAATCTCAAGAGTAAAAATGGATAAATCGTGCTCAACAAGAAATATATATATATATATATATATATATATATATAGGAGTGAGATACCTGACCTAAGGGTTGCCCGGATTTGATGAGCTGTCTGCGCAAAGCTGCCCTGGCCTGCCCGTCCGTACACACAGTGTGCGTGTGTCAGAAGCAGTTATCGCCATATGCCAATACCTTTGCGCCACGTGTCTCTGCACATGGATAATTATTCCCTTGAATAATCCTTGAAAATTCCCTTAAAAGCTCACGCGCTCCCTCTCGTTTAAGTCAAACCCCAGATTGCTCTTCACCTACGAGGTGGTCGATCTGATGATCTCTTGCTCGATAAGTCGATCTTCGACCAGATTTCCCATGTATTCGAGACCAACGCATATCCCATACCGAGATTCTTCTCACCCCACTCCCGCAGTGTTCGACTACTACCATTCAGCTCGATATTGTTCGACCAACATGGCTTTCCCAGTGTTAGATTCGTGTGACCGGTTAAATGGACCGGTTTACTCTTTCAGATATATAATATCCCATATCAAATAATATTTGAATTTATTTTTTATGTGTCTCGAGATATTCAAAATAACCAATTTGTATATAAAGATTTATTTTGCCAAATATGTGATAGATACTAATTTATAAATAAAAAATGTGTGCTGAGATATTACTTTGCAATATACAAAATAATCTATTTCCAAATAAATCAGTGTTTTGTCAAAAAAGCATAAAGAAACGTGTGAATATATAAAATTTTATTAACAAATAAATAGGTTTTTTCCCACATCTATTCAAGAAAACGTGTTAATACTGTACATGAAGAACCTTGCAATATATATATAAATATTTTTTTCAAATTAATTATCAAATATCAAATCATTATAATTTAACATAAATAAATAATATTATCAAATTAATTAAATTGATGCAACTTATAGACCATAAGTTGCCTTTTTTACAATATTTTCAAATCAAAATATTTTTAGAATTTAATTCAATTAAACATTTTACCAACTTTATAAATTGATAGAAGTCATGTAATAACTCACATGCTTAATATTCATTTTTTAATTTTGCTTTTAGTCAATTAGAATACTTTAAACCTGAAGTGAAAATTAGGTTTGCCAAAGCAGGTTTCAAGAACCGATAAACCATGTTTGATGTTGCGAGTAATTCAAATAATTGTTTGCATTGTATAAAAAAACTAAATGGAAATCTTATTTCATGACGAGGAGGTGAGTTTCATTTATTTTCATTGCAATTCGTGTTCTTTTATAGATAATAATACTAACACTAATATTATCGAAGTTTATTATTATAACTTTAGTACTCATTGCTTGAGTGTAAGGTACGATATTGGTTGTCACAAAACTCTCCACTCATGTGTTTTAATGTAAGGTACTAACTGGATCTAATGCAGGAGAGAAGGTGTTGATACTTCAAATGACTAACACCTTCCGACTTTATAGTTTTCTTAAAATTTCAGCAGAGACAATTTCTTATAATGATTTCTTATGCCATGACGATTAACAAAAGTCAGGTTCAGTCTTTATCACATGTTGGCATGTTCTTGAAGAAGTCGGTATTCAATCACGGTCAATTGTATGTAATTGTTTTTAGTGTCACTAATCGAAATGGCTTAAAAATATTAATTTTACAAGGCAAAAATATTCTCTACAATGACGTTTTTAATAACATATAATAGTATTCTTTATTCTGTTTATTTAATTGTCTTTATTCACAAATATAATAATAAGGCTGGACAAATAACCTTAAAAGTTAAAACAGTCCACTCCGTGCATCGCACGGGATCTGTACTAGTGAATTGAATTTGGATTGAATTTTTCCATATACAAACACACCCAGATCTCCACAGCTCACTGCAGCCATTCCCTCTCAAAGAAATTCTAATACATTCCAATTCAAAGAAGTGAAGCTCGCAAGTCGCAATCCCCAATAATTTATTTCAGTTTAATATTTTTGTGTAATTGTTATATATTGCAAAAAATCAATTAAACCGACCGAATATTTCAGTTTGGCTAAAATTCGGTTTTTACCTATACTTCGGTCGGTCAGGTTATTTGGAAAAATTTAATTGGTTATTTCAGTTTTTTGCATTCCGATCGGTTCGGTTAACCAAACTGATCAACGCACACCCCTATCTCACCAGTTTAACAATTTGGGAGGAAAAAATTTCATTTTGACATAATAATATGAGTGAAGATTCACAGATAACCAAACTGATCAATGCAAACCCCTATCTCACTAGTTAACAGTATGGGAGGAAGACTTCATGTTGACATAATAATATGAGTGAAGATTCACGTTATGATAAAACCTTTAATGAGACTTGACACTGCAGATATTATCAGACCAGACATAAAATCCCATTTGATGGAAATTTCAACCTGCCCTTAGGGGCACTGCAGTCAGGAAATTTGAGCCTTGATTTGCAGTGTATGAAATCAAGGGTTAAAGCCTAAAGGCCACTGACTACAGTGCAGTATCGAAATTACCCCAATCTGACACAACACGAGTAAACTGTCACTGTATTTCCTTGGGAAAAACTAGTATTTTTCTTAAAATCTTCATCTAATCAAGACTAAAACTAGACCACCACCAGGATTGAGTGACGGCAATCAAGATTTACCAACAATGACACCAGCTACAAAACCCAAATCATAACCACCACAAAAAATAATCAAAATACGAAGAGGGGGTTACCATTATCATCAGTAAAAGCTGTAAAATCGTCATCAGCAGCCAAATTTCAAAGGATACAGACAGATTACCAATTCCACCATGAAAAATAAGGTGGGAATAACAAGCAGACAACTACCTCAAAACCCCAAAATCAAAATTAGCAATCATTATTTAAATAAAAAAAAAAAGGGCAAACAGAGAAAAGGGAGGAAAAAAATAAAAAGCTAAATCCTTTACAAACACAGTTTTCTGAGTTCACCACAAAAAAATCACCACCTTCGACCTCTCACCTGTGAGGTTGGCCCATCTTCCACCCGCCAAGCCTCGGGGACCCAAATGGGGTCATCAACTGCTGGTCAGGATTGAACAGGCTCAGCTCCACAAATCCCGAACCGCATGGCTCGTCAGTCTCCATGGCCCGAAAAGAAATCGACCCGCTTTTTCCCGACACTGACGAGTTCCTCTTGGGACTACCACCACTCACAAGACTCCCTTCAAGAGGACTTTGATTAGTAAGCAAAGAGAGGGTGTCGTCACTCACTCCTCGTCTAGCCTCGATATCCCTCTCCAAACTCCTCAAGGACAGAGAATCTGCAATGGGAAGGTACACGAGCATGCAGATTCCCACACTAGCACAACACAGGAGTGAAAGAAAAGCCAAGAACGCTACCACGTCAAATACGAGCCTATCTGGATCAGGCAGCACGGTCAGACCAAGCAAAACGACCCTCAGAGGGAAAAAACTCGAAATAGAGAATATCAATGTGTACACTCTCTTCTGCAAGCTTTTGTTGATGACCAGATGAAGGATCCGCCTACCGAGCCAGAAGAGGTAGACGGTCAGAACAGTCGCAAACAGGCCAAGAAACATGGTGCTAAGCAAAGGGTAAGTGCAGAAGGCGACATCAGTATCAGAAGATGCTTGGATGAAATAAGATGGCAGTCTGGGGTTGTGGACCTGCCTATACTCTGGCCCAATAAGAATCACAGCTAGCTGAAGAACAAACATGGGGAAGCCGTACAAGAGAACAAAGCCGGCAGTCTTCACGTTCCATTTCGAGCCCAAAGTGCCCGAGCTCTGCAGGGATGCACGGAGGAGAAATATAAGAGTGAGAAAGAGGCACGGCTCTGCGAATCCCAGATTCGAGACTATGTAGCATTTGCATACGTTTTCCCGCCAACCAGACGTCAGGTTATCGAGGGCCCTCCCTTCCTGCCGCCAGATGCTGAGCCGGACAATCTCGCCAATGCCCCACCAGATGGAAAAGAAAATGTAGGTAATTCGGATGATCCAAGGGCCGCTAAAGTAGCTGAGCTGAACGAGGCCCTGTCCGTGAATACGACTGCGGAAATAAAACGAATATATGATGCAAAATAAGCCCACGAGGAAAAGTGCGGCCACCAGACAGATTGTCACCACGCCGAGTGCATCAGCAACAGCTCTTGTTACGGGCATTACCCAAGGCACGAATACCACGCATGCTCTCTGCCAGCATGGACAATGACTGATTGAAATAGATGAGGACTCACAGCAGCTGCAAGAGAGTTGCTTAGATGATCATCAAACGAAGAACAGAGGATCTCAAGTAGTCGTATCTGAGGAGCATTCAGACTGGCAGCCTGCGGCAAGAAGAGTATTTTGAGTAAAATCAGTGATTTGTCATGACAGTAGATGGATTGGAGAAGTTAAAGTAAATAATTAAATAGTGGAAAAGGATGACACCATGCATTCGCCAGAGATAATCTAAGCACTGAGTTTGCATGACCTACATACAAATGTTGTGTGTCATACGTGTGCATGCATCATGATAAGCAATAATTCTCGTGACATACTATATTTGTATTGTAGTCAGGCTGAAAGATATAGATCAGAGCAGGGTGAGTACCAAAGGATAAGAACAAATTGTTTTACGACAAAAATATGAAGGACAAAATATGAACATCGAAAGGACCTCCTTCAATAAATTATATAAGGGGAGAGAAAAGTGATATATAGCATAATAAATTTTCAACTACCGTTTATATAGAAATCACTAAATGGACAAGCACAATTACGGCAGTATTACATTTCATGAAAAAGGTAAAAGAAGATCAAAACATAATTAATTATACATGGTGACACCTTATACGCTGAAGTAATTGGCATACAATTTAAGAAAAAAGGACAAACCAAGGGATATTCGTACGTTTTATGCAACAACACGTGGAAAGCACTAAAGTCAACAAGGTTATCCGGTATCCTAACTTAAAGTAACTTCTCCCAATCCAAGCCTCCTATCAAATTCAGTAAACATCACCCCGAGAATATTATTGAGAAAGATTCACTCAGAAGGATTATAGACATACGTCGCACAAAAGCATAAAAGCAAATAATGACAACTCTCCGAGGTTATTGTTATATTTGGAAATTTGTTGGACATAGACCCGCATGCAACGTGTATAGGCCCCACACAGAAAGAAACTTATGAGCATATATAGCCACTCATTTTATCTCATATTTAATAAGTCTTATTACACCTTAATATTTACAACCAATTTATACCCAATTATATGAACTCTAATACATGCTATTTGATGATGTACAACAGAGATAAACTCTTCAACAGCAGAACAGATTCTTTAGTGGAAGGTAAACCACTTATGCATAATAACACACCGTACCTGCTAATGTTCAATAACCTCACAACACATCATCCAACCTATTCATAATACTTTCCCCACATTAAAGGAGAAACATCTCTCAAATAATTTCCATAATTCACTTATGACAGACCCTAGAGTAATATAATTTAACAGTGCCAACCCATGGTACATTAATACGAATCATCAACCATATCCAGAATTTCCCTAAACACGCATGATCCTGCAAGAATATAAAATATAAAACAAATAGATCATATCATCTCTGTTCTGGATAGATCATATCAACCAAATATATCAAATTAAAAGGGAAAAAAAAATGACAGCGTAAATATATACACACACGAATGAGCACCGAACGGACACCAAAAACAAACGACAGAACCAGCATTCAACAACAAAAATTGCAAGACGGCCAAAGAACCGCCCCATACAGAAGATAA